TTGGTGCCTTGCCCACGAATTTTTGTGCCTTGCCACCAATTTGTGTGACCGAAAATTCGTGGGCAAGGCACAAAATTTTGTCGGCAAAGGCACAAATATTCGCGGGCAAGGCACAAAATTCGTGGGCAAGGCACAAAAACTCGTGGACAAGGCACATTTTGGGGTTTTAAGCCTTGCCCAAGGGCCAAAAAATCCGAAACGTGCCTTGCCCACGAATTTTGTGCGCTATCCACGAATTTTTGTGCCTTGCCCACGAATTTTTGTGCCTTTGCCCACGAAACCCATTAGGGTTTATATATATATATATAGAAAGAGAGGTTTAGGGTTTAGGGTTTAGGGTTTAGGGTGTAGGGTTCAGGGTTTAGGGACCCTTCTTGATTCTTTAAAGGACCCCTTCAAGAAACCCTTGGACCCCTAAACGCCGATTCCTTTTTTTTGTGAACTTAAAAGTGTCCGAGATGCGGGCTGTAGGGCTCAGGGTTCTCACTACAAACCCCGGTTTCGGGTTTAGAGTTTAGGCGCAAAGACTATTCCGTAGGTCATAATCAGATCTGGATGTTGCAGGGGTAGATAGACCCAAGTTTTCGGGTTTAGGGTTGAGGGTTTACTGAGGAGACCCCACCGTACTTTTGAATCCCTTATCTACTTGCCAAGTCCTCCTTGATCCGCAGCGAGGCCCGAAGCGCAGCGTTGTCCGAAGCAGCCACGCAAGCTCAAAGTTGAGGTTTATAGCGGTTAGGGGCTTAGGGTTTAGGATTTAGGGGTCCAGGGTCCCCCGTCAAACGAGGCTCGAGGCGTTAAGTCAAGAAGGATTTCAAGCCGGTTCTTCCCATTTGTAGGGATCCCATCGCATCATGTCGCTTTCGGTCGATGTGTGCTTGATGAGCGGCAAGACAGCCTCTCTGGAAGTGCAGGCAGATGCATCCCTTGAGTCATTGAAGCAACGTGCCCAGAGCGCTCTGGGAACTTACAAGGGCAGGCTTCTGAACTCTTCCGGAGAGGTGCTGGACGGAACATCCACTGTCGAAGACGCCGGCTTGCAGAGTGGTGACGTGCTAACCCTTCATGTGAAGCAGGTTCAACTTGTAGCTACAAAAAAGACAACCGACGACTTCTCTGCTGCTTTCGCGGCCATTCTGGCAGATGGCTCCGTGGTTTCCTGGGGAAACCCCGAACATGGTGGCAGCAGCCGTGCCATACAGCAGCAGCTGAAGAATGTTCAGCGGATTCAGGCTTCATCGTGCGCATTTGCTGCAATCCTGGGTGATGGATCTGTAGTCACATGGGGTGATGCCTTATCTGGTGGTGACAGCACTGCCGTGCAGGAGCGGCTGAAGAATGCGCAGCACATCCAGGCTTCATTGTACGCCTTTGCCGCAATCCTGGCTGATGGATCTGTGGTGACGTGGGGTGATTCCGGATATGGTGGTGACAGCACGGCTGTACGGGAGCAACTGAGGGATGTTCAGCAGATCCAAGCGACAGATCGCGCGTTTGCTGCACTCAAGGGTGATGGATCTGTGGTCACCTGGGGTGACATCGGATATGGTGGTGACAGTAGGGCCGTACAACATCGCCTAAAGGATGTGCACCACATCCAGTCTTCAGATCGCTCCTTTGCCGCAATCCTCAGCAACCGGTCTGTGGTGACCTGGGGCATTCCTGGAGCCGGTGGTGACAGCAGTGCCGTGCAGCAGAAACTGAAGAATGTTCAGCAGATCCAGGCCTCGGTCGGTGCCTTCGCTGCAATCCTGGGTGATGGCTCTGTGGTCACCTGGGGTCTCCTTGACTGTGGGGGCAACAGCACTGCTGTGCAGGGGCGTCTGCAGAATGTAAAGCAGATCCAGGCTTCTTATGGCGCCTTTGCTGCAATCCTGGGTGATGGCTCCGTGGCAACCTGGGGGCATCCCCAATATGGCGGAGACAGCAATGCTGTACAGGAGCAGTTGAAAGATGTGCTGCACATCCAAGCTTCGATGCGCGCATTTGCTGCAATCCTTGGTGATGGATCTGTGGTTACCTGGGGTGATCACCGTTGTGGCGGAGACTGCAGCGACGCCGTGCAGAACAAGCTGACGAAGGTGCAGCAGATCCAGGCCACGTACAGCGCGTTTGCAGCAATCTTAGCTGATGGATCGGTGGTCACCTGGGGCGATGCATACGGTGGCGGTGCCGACAGCATCACTGTACAGGAGCAACTGCAGGACGTGCAGCAGATTCAAGCTTCTCGTGGCGCATTTGCCGCAATCCTGGCTAGTGGATCTGTGGTTACCTGGGGCCCTCCTGCCGTTGGCGGCAACAGCATAGATGTGCATGACCGCTGGGTATAACAAGGCAGAGGGGGGAGGGGAGGGACCCGCTGCGGCAGAGCTTGCGGGCTTTCAGGGCCACTGAACTTCCGTGCGTGATTAGACAGATGTCGAGGACTTGTTCCCTAGAAATCCTGAACCCCAAACCATCGGTTCCAGGCTCTAAGCCCCATCCAAAGACCCCATCGACTCCTCTATGCTGAGTTTGAGGTGAGCAGATTTTGGGGAACCGACAAAGTTTTGGGAATTTGCTCTGGGTCGGAATTTAGGATTGAAGGAGATTTGTTTATTCCCCCTAAACCCTAAACCCTAAACCCTAAGCCCTAAGCCCTAAGCCCTAAACCCTAAACCCTAAACCCTAAACCCTAAACCCTAAACCCTAAACCCTAAACCCTAAACCCTAAACCCTAAACCCTAAACCCTAAACCCTAAACCCTAAACCCTAAACCCTAAACCCTAAACCCTAAACCCTAAACCCAAGTTAAAGTTGTTTTATGGATTTCGCGGTTGAGGGGCTTACTGGAGTGAAGGCCATACTTATGTTCAAGCCCTGAGGCCGACACAGACTGTTTTGAGGGCGAGAGTGCCATGCCTCTCTTAGACCAGGCTTCAAAGCAAAGGGTTTAGGGTTTAGGGTTTAGGGTTTAGGGTTTAGGGTTTAGGGTTTAGGATTTATAGGGTCCTTGGGTTCAGGGTGCATGTGGCTTGCGGAGTGTTGCTCTATGCCCCCAGGGCTTCCAGGGCTTTCCATAAAGATCGGGACCCGGAGCTCGAAACAACCTCAACAACCTCAGCCCCAGTCGAATGCAGGGAGCATTGGCGAGTGACCGGCTATAGCAGCGGCGACGGAGGGGGTTGATCGGTTGATGGAATGCTTGCGTGTGCAGTGTTTTCTGCCTCAAGTTACGAGATTTAGTTGCGAGCCTTCGGCCTAGCCTCCGGCCACACCCTAGGTTTGGCCGGACAATCCTTGGTCGTAGACCCAGGGTCTGCTTTGGAGAACTGGATTTTCGAGCCTATGAGAACGGCCCACTCCTCGCTTGGTGTAGGCTTTGGTTCTTTGGTTGAGATCTGCGGACGTTCCACTTCATTTTGCCGACCACCGTGGAATGCCTACTGCGCAGCTGACACTGTAAAGAGGCTATTAGCGTCGCGTTGTATTGCAGGTCGGGCTTTGGGTTCCGCTGCAAGGAGTCGTATAATCGTGTTACAGGGTCCTGCTCAAAGAGGACTCTGAGAACCACCTTCTAGAGTCATTCAAGCTTTCTGTAGCTACTTCTCCAATTTCGAAGAATTGAACACAAGAAACAAAGACAATTCCCAATTGGACTCTAGCCACCTGCACTACACTGTTTGCAGCAGGTGCAGTTATTTTACTACATGTTGCATTGGAGAAGGGGATCTGCGACGATTGTAAATTATGAGGTTTTGCCATGATCGCCACCACTGCAATGATTGGGCATGTGGTGCGTAGCGTGCCGAGAAGTGATATTCTTTGACTATTGGGATGAAATTCTCTGGGAAGTTGCTTGTTCACACCTGCTTTCCGCACAATGGCGGGTTGCCGATTTCTGGTCGTCTGCTGCTCGGTTTTTTGGGGTGCACCAGACTCCGTCTGGATTCTTTCAGCTCCTTGCAGCCTACAATCCGAATGTCAGCATCATACCAGCAGAATGCTTTCATGATTTTATCTGGGTGCAATCTGCAATCGGCAATGATTTCATTCAAAATGTCTTTGGGTGCATTTAGGCTGAGGCTCCAGAGTTACATCTGTGCACCTTTCGGTTTTTTGACCGTGACTCTTCTATCGCTCAGTGAAAGAAGACAAGTCCAGTTTGCGTAGGTTTTTGGGCAGAACATTGTTTCCAGGGAGTTGGTCACCGGACTATGTCGAAAGTACTCGAATATCAAATGCGCGGAAGAACAAGTTTCGGAAGTATGTCCTGAACATCATGTTTGCCTCGGAAATTTGTCAACAAGTTGTCGCGAGGTTTTCTGGTTTGCTCACAAGCAGCTCGCCAACTCCCATATGACTTTTGTGAGGTCATGCCCTCACCTTCAGCCGCGAAAACGCATCCCTAAAGCCATATTGAAGCAGGGTTTCTATATTACTGTTATTGGTGAGTGTATATAAGGTTCCTTGTTAAAATATTGGTGAGTGTATATATTTGGTGTCCTTGTGGGGGTACAACCGGGTACAAGAAATGTAAACCCTACTTCATTTCCAGCAGCAAAGTCGGGGCATCCCGACAGAGTGAACGTCGCAAGTTTCACAAGTCGTATCATGGGTTTAGGGTTTAGGGTTTAGGGTTTAGGGTTTAGGGATGTGGTTTTCATGGAGAGGGACTTTGCAGCCGAGTAGTGGGAGTTCCAAATTCTAAAGGTGTAGCATGTCTTTGATTGTCTTCGCATCTTCGACACGTCATGAGGCCACGTGTTTGCAGCGGAGAGGTTCAAACGATCCCAAATTTGCCCTACACAGACAAAGTGTGGGTGCGCTGCCGCACGCCCCTCAGCGTCAGACCTATCAGCGCGGTAGCTCTTCCAACTGCGGGGTCATCTTTGTCATAGTGGGGTAACATTCTACATTTTTAAGGGTACTTAAACTCAATAAGGAATAAAATTTTAAAATTCTATAACTATCCCAACTATGAACCAGTCATGTGTCCAAGCAAAGATGAGGCGTCCAACATGGCCGAAGCCGGCAAAGCTGACACGAAAATGGCAGCCAAACCACAAGAGAAGAAGGCTCCGGCAACTGCCGATGTTGATTGAATGGTCCTTCTCTAAATCGGTGCAGGTTCATACCCTCTCTTGTGTTTTGTGTTCAGTTTGCTGGATACGTAGTCGTGAGTCCATGTCGATGCATGTTTGGTTGCAGGCGTCCAAACCGCGAATCGACTGTATTGATGGATGCAGATTCGCTCTTGTGTTCCCTATCGTGATTGCGCACTTTGCAAGGCACCAGCTTACATCTGTGGGTTGTGGGCGTGCCGTGTCTCCTACATGTCGGCTGAGTATCTGGCTAGAATATGAATTGCTGACAGGTTCGGCACCAACAACAAGACAATGTTGAAGCTTCTCACGCAGGAGAACGTTTTGGTGGGTGGATTCTTCGTCATTTCCGGATACGTCCCGCACTGAGCATCGTGACGTTTTGCATGAGCCATGCAGAAAGCTTAGGACGTGTCATGGTTGTGACGGTTTTAGGGACAATTCTAGTAATCGTTTATTGTGGTCCCTTACCCTAAACCCTGAACCCTAAACCCTAAACCCCAAACCCTAAGCCCTTTTTCAAGGGTTGCGAAGTATGAGCCTGGGGCGCGAAGAGGTATAGAAGGGGTACGAAGGGCCTATATAAGGGACCATGCAACTACCCTAAACATAGTGGTCATGATGCTAATGATGCTAATGATGCTGATGATGATGATGATGGTTGGTCTCTTGTGCTGGAGCCGTTGCTCAGCTCCTGCGGCGCCACTAAGCACATCTTAGCAATAAGGTCTCTGCCTACACCTCCACCAAGCTTGGTGAGCGGAAGGCGGAGGACAAGAAACTGGCCAATCCAGAGCTGTTCTTCTGGCAAAGGGCTTCTGTGATGGCATTCCTTCATTGTTGGGCTGCATGTCGGCGCTTCGAAGAAGCTGTGATGTACTAGCTGCGTGCGATGATTTGTGAGGTGATGGCGTACTATCCTTTGCACTTTGTGGTCTCAGCGATCTTTGCCCCTATGTTCATCCAAGTTGAGAGGCATGGCAGCCCAAAGTCCATAGTGGAGCTGCATACGTATGGGGCGCGTACCTGCCCCACAAGTAGAACCTGTGGAAGTGTCTAGGCGTCGCCCACCGCTGTTGTGCACAGGTGGTACAACACTCCCTGGACAATGACGGCTTTCCGAGCCTTCTTGAATTTCAGCCTGCTGCAGGAAGGGCATTCTTTGCGTCAGTGAAGCGAGAGCCTGGGCACTTGTGCCCTTCAGCTGCTGCCACGTGCTTGCTCCCGCCTCGAGGCTTGGTTCCCAGCGGAGGCCGAGATTTGGAATCAGCCCACCTGGTTGTGGGCTCAGCTGCGGGTCACTGCCGCGGCAAGTTCGAAATCCTATGAGAGCACTTGTTGCATACACCAGGTTCCTGTCCGCACTCACCTTCTCGAACCTCACGATGCCCACATTCGTGCTCCCACAAGTAGCGCAGCTCTCGAAGTCCGGCGACTTTGCAGGGAAGAGAGGAGAGGAGAGAACAGAAGAGAAGAGAAAAGGAGAGAAGAGGGAGGAGGCACACTGGCCATTTGTTTCCGGCAAGATTCAAGGTGCTTAAGGGGACATCAAAGGGGCACCCTAAGGCCCTAAGGGGGCTTTGCACGTCCGAGGCCTGCAAAAGCTATTTGCTGCTTTGACAGGGATTTCGCTTCTGCAGAAGGCACGGGGGCCCCAAACCCCAAACCCCAAACCCCAAACCCTAAGCCCTAAGCCCTAAGCCCTAAGCCCTAAGCCCTAAGCCCTAAGCCCTAAACCCTAAGCCCTAAGCCCTAAACCCTAAACCCTCAACGTTGGGGCCTTCGCCGAAAGTCTCCTGCCTCGGTCGGCATTTGTGAAGGTTTCTTACTCGGAGACTTCGCGATTCCACAGCCACTTTGAGCATCCTGCACCCTGGCAAGGGTTGCGGCTTAGGGTTTAGGGTTGCGGGTTTAGGGTTTAGGGTGTAGGGTTTAGGGTTTAGGGCTTAGGGTTTAGGGTCTAGGGTTGAGGGTACAGCACCTTCTAGAATTGCTGTCTACGACTGCGGGTCGATACACGCTCAGCGGCCTTCAGTCTCTACACACCTGCCTCCCGCCCAGGTGGATGGAAAGGTCATGTATCCCTTGTGCCGGCCTGAGATGGGTAGTTGGCTCTGGTTTAGGGGTCGGGGTTTAGGGTTTAGGGCTTCTCGCTGCGGGTTTCCAAAGATAGGGTTCCGTTTGCCTATGATAAGGATTAATGTTTTTGGGGGTATATCCGGGGCACCCCTAGTTTGGGAAAGGCCCCCAAATGCTGGAGAGGGCCCTGAGAAGCTGCATCGTTGCGCTCGTTGAGTCAGGATCTGGAACCTTACCCGCTTCCATCCCTTCTGGGCACTCATCGAAATGACCATGGGTGTGGCAGCTGTTCGTCATGTGATGCTGGACACGGAGGAAGACAAGAAGCAGCCAACCACGAATCTTGCTGCAGCGATGCCATTTCGCACGAGGTGAAAGTTCTCTAAGGGCTGGGGCGTCGCGGGGTCTGAAAAACCGAGGAACCCGCTCTGGCTCTTCCTCCTCTCCTACGCCTCCCTGGGCCTACGCCTGACACAGTTTGACTTCAACGACGCAGCCTTAAAGTTTTTTGTGCATTTGCCTCTTGACTAGGGATGTTCCCCCTGATACCAACAGTCCTTAATAGGGATTCTAAATCGGGGGGCACTAGAATCCCCGTTAAAGGACTGTAAGTATAAGGGGGAAGGAACATCCCCAATTCTTGACTACGCAGCCCTGAAAAACCTGACAGGAGCCCTCTGCCTTCTTTCTGCCTCTCAGGACGCCATCATCCGAGGCGTGCTGTTTGTTCCCATCTTCACGAAGTTCCTGACGCAAATCCACCGGGATGCCTTGTCTGCGAACCCCGCAGCTTGATCCGAGGGAGGATGGATGGGGAGGATGGAAACCCTAAGGGGGCGTTTCCGAAAATAAGGGGTATCCTTTTTTGGGGGGGTCCCTTAAGGGGATGGTATACTGTGTGGGGTATCAAAGGGGTACCCTTATCTTGGGAAATACCCAGTGTAAAGCTCTAAACCCCCCAAACCCCCTTCCCTGCATGCGAGTGAGGCCCCGATTACGCGATTCTTTGGGTCCAAGCCCATGGCCACACTGGGCTCCATAGCCTTCCCCATGTTCATCTTGCACCTCGGCAGCAAAATGACCTTAAACCCTAAGCCCTAAAGCCTAAACCCTAAGCCCTAAGCTCTAAACCCTAAACCCTGAACCCCAAACCCCAAACCCTCAACCCACACCCCTGCAAGAGGATCCCAAAAGAAGATCCGCAGAATGACCCAATAGCTTTATAGGGTACTATTTGGGGGGGGGTTCTACTTTTTGTGACTTAGAGGCTCTGCATGCCGAGGGACTTTGTTTATCCTTTAGTGCGTTGTATTGTTAATGTTGCTATTGCTGTTTAGGGTTTAGGGTTTAGGGTTTAGGGTTTAGGGTTTAGGGTTTAGGGTTTAGGGTTTAGGGTTTAGGGTTTAGGGTCTAGGGTGCTATGCTACTCTTCCTTTCTTATACTGATTACCACCATGTCTGCTAGTTTTACATATTCTACCTTTACGATGGCGATAGTTATGATTGTTGTTCCGACTGCCATGCCAGGCATGGCCCGATTGGACAGATCTTTTACAAGAAGGCCCGGTGGGTACATGCGGGGGTTTACGGGTATAGGGGGCCCCGAGTACAGACCCCGCAAACAGTAGGATTTCTGGAAAATGAGGACCCCAACCAGATGCCCTTAACTTCGGAAACCACCATACCGATGCGTGGCGGTTTCCCAAAATGGGGGTATCCTTTTTGAGGGGCTCCTTTATTGCGGCAAAGGTATCTAGGGGTATACTAGGGGGTTCCCTTATTTTCGTAAGCCCCCTACTTGGAGGTTCATGGTACTTATAAACCAATTACAACTGTACTCAAAACCCACTTATAAGCCCCTTAAGTGCAGTTCTAAGTGCAGTTATAGTTGGTTAGTAAGTACCATCAACCTCGCTGATGCATGGCAATCGAAGTTCCTGGTCTTGAGGTGCTCGCCAAGGAACTGTGGGGCGGACCCATGTCGACGCGGTTCTTCCCGCTCGCTGGCCTGGCAGCCCTAAACCCTAAACCCTAAAACCCTAAAACCCTGAAAAACCCTGAAAGACCCTGAAAAACCCTGAAAAACCCTGAAAAACCCTGAAAAACCCTGAAAAACCCTGAAAAACCCTGAAAAACCCTGAAAACCCCCAAAGCCCTGAAACCAAAAAGTGTCCATGCCAAGAGTGCTATTTGCTGGTTTGCATTTGGGGAGCTTGCGCTTGAATGCCTGCTGCGCAGCGCGGCCGAGGTGCTATTTGATGATCTGCCTTGGCTTGAGCCATCTTACCAACGATGCTGGGTTAAGGGTTTAGGGTTTAGGGTTAGGTTGTTTCAGTGAGTGGTAGGCCACGGACATGGACTTGATCGCATGCAGCTTCTCCGTGATTGTTGGCCGTTGCAGCATGTTGCAGGCATAGTGACATGAGCTTAGAAAGGTCTTGCCCCAAACCCTAAACCCTAAACCCGAAACCCTAAACCCGAAACCCTAAACCCTAAACCCTAAACCCTAAACCCTAAACCCTCGCCAAGGAGTACTTCGTCAAGAGCAAGAAGGTGGCGGCAGTCGCCGGCAAAGTTGCGTCGGCTCTCGCAGAATGGACTGAGGGCATGTTGCGGGATCGTCCATAATTTTGAATCCTGGGTGTTGCCGACGAGGAACAACGAGCCAGCAAGCTGTCTTGTTGATGCTCAGGCAGCGCGCTTTAAGGGATACATAGGGCTTGACGGTGCAGAACCGGGATTGGTGGCAACTGGCAAGTCCACACCTGCCCCACCAAGAGGTCTTGCTTCCTTGCCCAGCTAGCAGAAGTGTTTCGAATTGTTCTTCGCAGTGTTGGATGGCCCCTGCCAGTCCTTCGAGCCGCAAATAGTTCTGAGTCCCAACTCCAGTCCCAACTGACATCCCCTCAAAAGGCCGCAAAAAGCCCATAAAAAACTCTGTGGACGTACTCTAAAATAGACATGAGGAGGCTGACGATGGCAGGGCCATCTGAATGTGAGGCAGACGGTCTCAGCTTTGAGACCCCTGGCACTCGAGAGCTCTACATGGGGGTTTCCGAGATTAGGGGGTGGCCTTATTGGGGTCCTTATTGCAAGTGAGTCCTACTGTTTTGGGGTCTTGGGGTCCTTATTAAAAGGGAGTCCTGCTATTTCTGTAGCAGGGGGTCCCCCTGTTTTTCGCAAACCCCCACACAGTTCCCTGCGGGCGGCCGTGCCAGATTCCCCCATGGAGGGCAGTCCCAGGTCAGTTTCAAAGAGGCGGATCGGTGCACACCCTGGGGTTTAGGGTTAAGGGTTGGGTTTTTCGGGTTTAGGGTTTAGAGTTCCAAGTATGGGCCCCTGAATTTGGGCCCCTTGTTATGTAACCTTATTCTCTACGCTATATTACAATCAGGGTCCGTACATCCCTGTAAAGCCAGGGTGAGGAACCATCCTGAGGGCCCATATGGTTCCAACCTTAGATTGTAAAGTTCTTGCTGTGCGAGGCTCCGGCAGAGGCATGGCTTCCGCTGCCTTTTTGGCTCCATGTCAAGCTCTGCTCCAACCCCGCCTTCCTCTGCTGCAGATCTTTGTGGCGCTTCGCAGGGGCCTAGGGTTTAGGGTTTGGGGTTTTTAGGGTTTAGGGACGGTTTTTTTGGGCCTGTGAGGGGTGTTGTCGCGGTATTGGCGTTCCAGCTCTGTCGGAAGATTTCCTTAGTTGGATCCAGTTGGCTGCCAACTTCGGCGCTGAGGTGACTCGACATGAGCAGCGCGCCGCAGAAAATTGACGACGCTTGGCAGCCCCTAGCAAGTCACGGATTGCCGGGATGTGAGAGGTGCGATGGAGGTACCATGCTCTTCCAGGACATTTTTGACACGCTTGACGGTTCTTGGGCACGTGAACCCTAAACCCTAAATCCTAAACCCTAAACCCTAAACCCTAAACCCTAAACTGCAGGCTGATGCAAAGGCCGCAGCGATGCCTCCGGCTGCCAAGCAGGAAGTGAAGCCCGTGAAGGCGCTGTGCAACATCCTAAAACCCGAAGCCCGAATCCCGAAAGGCCTAAACCGCACAAACACGCACATCAAAACAACAAAAGAAGGGGGGGGGAAGAGGGGGGGGGGGTGGGGTAGGACTTGAGGTTGTTTAGGGTGTTAGGGTGTCGGGGGTGGGTTAGGTTGTAGGCTTTGGGTTTTGTCGCTTCGTTGTAAGGGCTGTTTAAGGTTTAATGTTTTCGGGTAATGGATGCCAGCTGCTGCTGAAGGCAGAACAAGGCTGACCGTTGGCTTCTCTAAGCGGCCCTATCAATAACAAAGACCTCTAAATCCTACACCCTGAACCTAAACTGAGTGAAGGATCGCTTCGGTCGAGCGACACACCCCGAGCGCTTGGCCGAGGGCTTACAGCCCGAGCGCCCATACGAAAAGAGAAGCGGGAATGTGAGGGTCAAGCCTCGCTGTCTGTCCTGGACAGGCCAACAGATTTTGGGCTTTCTTACCGACAAATCAGCCCCCAAGCCTTAACTAAGCCCTAAGCCCCAAGCCCTAAGCCCTAAGCCCTAAGCCCTAGGCCCTAAGCCCCAAGCCCTAAGCCCAAAGCCCTAAGCCCTAAGCCCAAAGCCCTAAGCGCTAAGCCCTAAGCCCTAAGCCCGAAGCCCCAAGCCCTTAGCCCTAAGCCCTAAGCCCTAAGCCCGAAACCCCCCAATTCTGCGAGCAGGTCTCCAAGCCTAGGATCGACTGCATCGACGGCTGCCGCTTTGCGCTGGTCTTCCCCATCGTGATCGCCCATTTTGCCAGGCTCGGCACACCTAAAGAGATCTGACACCCCAAGCCCTAGATTCTAAACCCTAAAACAAACCAAAAACCCGAAACCTAAACCCTAAACCCTAAATTCTAAACCCTCAACCCTAAACCCTAAGCCCTAGAAACCCTGAACGCTGGAAGAGAGCCTAAGAGCACACCTAATGAGCACCCCCCATGAAGGGATCCGCCCGCTGCAGGTTTGGAACGAGCAATATCACGGCGCTGAAGCTGCTCACCCAGGAGAATGTGCTCGTGGGAGGCTTCTTCGTCATCTCAGGATACGTTGCGGTCTCGGCGCTGCTTCTTGCCATGGGTTGTGTCTTTTTGCCACAAGTTCTGCAATAAGGTGTCTGCGTACACCTCTACGAAGCTGGGCGAGCGAAAGGCCGAGGACAAGAAGCTGGCCAACCCCGAGCTCTTCTTCTGGCAGAGGGCAGGGGCCCTGTGCATGCCATGGCGGCTGCGAAAGATGGGGGGTCGAAGTGAGTCAGGTCATGGCCTACTATCCCCTGCACTTCGTGATGTCCGTCATCTTTGCACCGATGTTCATCCAGG